TCTAAGTGAAAGTATGTGGAAGCAGTTGAATTTCAAAAACAACAAAGTGTTGGTGGAATTCTGGAAGTTTTTAATTTCTATTCATCAATGGGAGCAGAAAAGCCACAAAAAAGCTGAATATTTTAAAAAGTATAAAAGTTAAATAGCAATAAATAGAAAGTATAGCTGGAGAGAAAAAAAGTAGAATAGTTAAAATAGAACAAAGTATGGAGAAGTAGTTAAAGGCCAAAAGACCTAAAAGGGCAACTTAAAGAAAAAGAAGAAGGATAAAAAATAGGAACAAAACAATAACATGCTTTACAGTATGCTTTACAGTGTGAATGCTTTACAGTATTCACAAAATAATCAGCTAGAAGACTTTAACGATGGGCAAGGGGACACTGAGACATATATTCACATGAAAATAATACGAAGCTAAAGGCCTAAACAATGTAGAACACATATTATAAATTCAGAAATAAATCATGAACCCAAAGAAACTCAATACACTGGCTCAAATAACCCAGGAACCACAACACAAAACTATGAGGAATGCTCTTTGTTTTGTGCATAAACAAACAATGTTGTGATGGTTTTCACAACTATGAGACCTTTAGCAGGCATTTAGGTACAAAGACAAAGCAACTGAACAAGTGTGTCAGATCTCATAAAGATTGTATTACAGTAATGTGATAAAATAATGTCACACAGGAAGTTTGGACTTTTTAAAAACACATTATAACATATACAATGTAATTTAATTATATATATATATAATGTAAAAGATGGCCTTCTCTACTGTTTCTATTCATACTACATGTATGATATATTATAAACTCTTTCAAGTCAACAAAGCGCTGCAGTGAGTGTTGTGTGCATATTCAAATGCAAAGACGAATGGAGTTATAACACAAACACAGTCTTGAGGCATGCCACCAGTCCTCTAATTTCCTGTTAAATAGAGAACTGCTTGTGTCAATATATTTTCACGTTCAGAGCAACTACAAACAACTTCAGAGACTCTCTCAAAACACTGATCACCTCAGAGACTTAAAGACCCAACTGAACCTCCAGTCATGGCTGAAATCTATGAGAATACAGAGGAAGTATTAGGTTGTCACAGAAAGTACAGAAGTGAGCATAGAACTTCAGAAGACATTTATATGAATCAGGAAGCGATCCAAACTGTGCAACTTAAAACAACTGGACCTGCACCCCCAGGTAAAAAACATATCTATAAATATTACAATTACATGTTGCTGAAGTTTTGTCGACAAACAAAACTAAAACTAAAATTAAGAATTTTATATAAACTGTCTGAAGAAAACAAAAGACTAATTTCAGGAAACGCAATCTGCTGTAGAGTTACTGTAGTTGTGGATTTTTTGTTAGCTGTTAATTTTGATTGAGATAACAATAATAATTGAGTTTTGATTAGTTTCTGTCATGGTCCTGGGTCTGTGACCCAGTGAGTTGAATTGTTTATTATTTATATCCCTGATGTTATGTTATGTTATGATGTGTGTGTTTCAGTTTTGGTATTTCTAGGTCCTGGGTTTTGACCTCTTTGCCCCTCATGTTATTCTGTTCTCCCTCTGTTCCAGTGTAGTCAGGTCTCTGTGTAAAGCCTGCGTCTCTGAGTCTGTGTCTTTGCGTGTGTGAGCTTCCTGTTTTATTGTGAAGTCCCGTGTCTTATGTGAGTGTGTCTGGTTTTGTTCCCCTTGTCTCGTCAGCTCTGATTTCTCCCAGCTGTGTTTTCCTCCTGTCTCCTATTCCCTGACTACTCTACTGTGTATATAAGCCCTCTGTTTCCTTCTGCTTGTTGCTGTTCTGGCTGTGTTTTCTCCCCGTGTTCCTCTATGCGTTCATTCTTCATATACCTCTACTCTCTGTCTCCTTGTGTTCAGGTTTGTTGTTTAGTTCTTAGTTTTTCCCAGTTTCCCACTATTTCTCAGTTCTGTTCTCGCCACCCTCTCCTTTTGTTGCATGTCCCTCTCCACAATAAAGCTCACTCACATCAGCAGTGCCTGCATCTTGGGTTCTCACTCATAACCCCACACGTCTGCCGTTGCAGCCATGACAGTTTCAGTGTTAATCGAAGTTTACACTGTTGCCGGTGTTTGCTTGTTTGGAAAGAGCTCAGAAGAGAAAATAATACAATACGAATACTTTGTAACTAACACTATTTGTGTCACTGACACCAAGAC